CCCTGCCCGCCCTCCCGCCGCGCGCAGCCGGCGCCCCGGGGCCGCCCGGGGAAGTACTCGCCGCGCCGGTGACGAAGGCGGCCGCGCCGGCCCCTTCCCCCCCTTCCCGGCGGTGCTTCCCGGCGCCCGCTGCCCCTGCCCGGGGCGCCCCGCGGGGCTTTCCCTGCGCCGGGGGGACCCTCGCCGGGACAGGGTCACCGCGCGGCACAAAATGGCGCGGTAGCCGCCGCGCTGCCCGCAMCCGTTCCTGGTGATCCCGCTGTCATCCGCTCGGCCGCGGCACCGCTGGCTAACGGAAGCCATGTGCGCTCCCGCCTGGATRAAGCCGCCGCCGGCGCGGCTGCCAGCGGTTTTTCCCTGCAGCCAGTTTTTCCCTGGTGGATTCTTGCTGCTGCCTCTCAGATGTGTGTGTGTCTGTGGGGATTCCCATTAAGAGTTTTTCTTCCCTTGCAACTTTTGCTGGCCTYGCTGACTAATAGTGTCTGAGATCCCTTCTGTGGCCGCATTCCCATGGGATGGTTATCCCTTTGAAAGAAAGTGGAGAGAAAAGCCAGAGCGGGGGGCCGGGGCAGAAGGGCCGGCTTTGTGCGAGCAGATGATGCTCCCAGCCCTCCGTGCCGCTCCGGGACTTTCTTTCCCTGTTCACGGCTAGGCCTGGGACACTCCGCTGGCAGTTTGGGGGCAGCTTTAGAAAAGCTGCACAACCCCTCCCTTTATAGGTTAAGGGTTGTGGAAGGGTCATGAGCTTCTGGAAGCGTTTTCCCCTTTTCAATGTAAATCAGCAAGGGGAAATTTAATTAGCAAATGACTCTCCTGCCTGCTGGTTCCATGAAAAAAAAAAAAAAAAAAAAAAAGGATAAAAGGATTGGTGTTTCAAGCAAGTGCCCCCGTGCCCCCTGCGACTATGAGAGGGCTGTGGTGAGGCGACAACGAAGCCGGCTCCAGGCAGAGCTTTGCTGGATCCATGTAGAGACGGAAACTAGAAAACTCCTCCTCTTCCTCCTCCTCGCCAAGGTGGCGGGAGCCGAGTGTGGCCGGACTGGCCCCTCGCTCCATCGCTGCYGTGCAGGGGCTGTTTCTGGAGAGCATTTGCCAGCAGAGAGCTCTTGCACGTGCCTGCGGGTGCTCTCCTTTCCGCGAACCACTGCCTGCGGCACCGCCTTGCTCGGCTGGAGGGGGCGGAAAGGCGGTGGGAAAAAATGACTTCTCAGTGGAAAATCGCGCCCAGAGCAGCCTGCCTCCYGCCCAAAACACGCAGCCGAGCAGGGGCCCCTCTGCGGCCGCCCCCTGGCCTGGTTCACGCTCAGAAAAATGAGATCCTGCAGCGCGGCCGCTCTGGCTGAGCCCACAGGTGGGTCGGCAGCCCGGGCATCAGGGGCTGTACGAGTGCCAGCTCTGCCCTAAACCGCTGCCCACCCCTGAAGGGGGTCCCTACAGGGCGGCCCCTGCAGCCTGTGGATGCAGGGACAGAGGGCACTTGTGTTAAGATTAATAATARGAAAAGAAAAGGTTTTACTTTTCTGAAGCTCCTCACAGCTGCCAATGTTATTTTGTGCTCTTTGCCAAAAGGGATAGAATAAGTTGCTGGAAGATAATGCAAAACAAAGCTTTTGAAACCATGATGAGGCTCATTGGCACTGCTGTTATGCTACTGAAATATTTATCTTTTTTCTTTTGAAAATGAATACATTCTAACTTATTCTGTCTAGTTTTCTACACAGTCAACATAGGTGAATAAAAATAACATGAAGAAGCAAACTCAGCTTTTGCATGTGCATTTTCTTCCCTTTTTTCCTCTTGGTGGTGTGCAGTCTGTCACGAATCTGATGCCATCCGCAACCACTGCCTGGTGTGGAGCTGTGGTTCTCGGTGCTCCTGGGACACGGCCCAGAGCCAGGCACCCGTTGCAGGGACAGGAGGACCAGGTTTTGCCAAAGCTGCCGCTGTGCTGGGCGTCCTGACCGCTGCACTTGCAGTGCTCTTGGGCTGCAGGACCTTTCTGTGCTTGTTCTTATTCTAGCTTGCTTGCAGGAATAAGAACTCAGGCCGAATGCCAGAAAGGGGCACCAGGATTTTAATCAGTTTTTAAAGTACATGAAAGATTCCTGTGCTGCTTCCTCCAGCAAATGCATTAACCTGTAATTTCCTGATTGCCACGCTAATCATGAGAGCTGTCTAGTGCTGGTGCCATGGGGCTGTTGATTTACCAGAGTTGGTCCCTCAACATCGTCCTTGTGTGACAGCGGCTGCAGGTACCGATGAACCGTTTCCTCCCGTTTAATCTCTAGGACGATGCAAGTTTAGCAGTAAGCATGACGGGAAAGGAAGTTTAGAGCATTCAGCAGGATCTTTGCCCAGGCTGTTGAAACCAAAAGCRAAGCAAAGCAGGGTAAAGCTGCATTTCTGCTTCAGCCTGGCAGTCTAGATGTGTGCATGCAGGGTGGATGCCTCTTTTCTGACCTGTGTGCTCTTTGCAATACGGCTTTCTTCACTGCTCAAAAGCATTGAGGGCTTTGCTGCAGCAATGGGAGACGGAGAACACTTCACATTGTTATTTGGATGGCATTTTGCAATTAAAATTGGCATWTTTTGGCTTCCCATCTAGAGCTGCTACAGAGATGAGAACTGGACAGCTGTCAGATCGAAACAATTTGCTGGACTCCAGTGTTAAACAGCGAGGACATATTTTCCCCCTGCTTTCTAATAATAATTTGCCTGTTACTAATTTGAACAGTTTAAAAAAAGTGACCAAGTGAGGTCATGGAAACATGAGCTAAAGTTAATTTTTGTCTTCCTAGACGCGCGCTCTGGGTTCTGGACGCGCCGTGGGGCCTCTTCCCCCACCTCGTCCCGCGTTCCGGCCAGAGGTGCCGCGTGGCGCTGGGTGCTTCGGGACGCTGCAGTGGGCACAGCGCCTCTGGCTTATTCATACTTGCCAAGCAAACGGCGCTGGAGGTGGTTTTTGGCATGTTAAATTAAGGGCAATTAAGTTTCCTATGCATGTTCCACAGAGAGAGAAGTAGAGGTAATACAGGTATCCTGACCAGAACCTAATGGAGTTTGTTTTGTTACTTCTACCCACGTTTCCAGCTGACTACTCCAGTGTCCCCTTTTCTTGTTATTTTTAGACCAAAGYTTATTTTTGACATGCCTTAAACTGATGCTGCATCCCAGGGAAGATCTGCATTTCTCTAAAAGTGAACCATGGGCTGTTTATATGTGTTTGTTGAATTTCTGGGGATCCTTAGGGATGAGGTACCTCATATACATTTAAACTGCTTTTATTGCAGTGCCTCAAGGGTAAACATGTGTTAGTTTGTTTGAAATCTGCTACTGCTTGGAAGACAAGTTTTCTCTGGTGTCATGCCTACCTTTCACATGGAAGTTTTGTTAAAGCATGTTATTCACGGTGGTGTGGCTGTTTCACACAGAAAAGAAGAGGCTTAGGGTGGAGGAGGCGGAGCAGAGGCAGGTCCGTGGAGCCTGTTGTGCAGCTATCCCTTTAGCAATGGGAATAGTGTTTTACCCTTTGGTTGCAGGCAGAGTGGAAGCACCTGACAGGGAAAAAAATTAACTGGGAGCACCCTGGCAATTAAAATTAAGCAGGGACTTTCCCGCTGCTGGCAGCTGGGCCATGTGGCCATATTGTATTCTCTGTTTTTTCCCAGCAAGCAGGAATCTTGCAAAGATGAGGAGAACCCCCATGGGACCACGTGGAAGACCAACCTTGTGTGAGCCCTACACAGGACCGACAACCATGGACACGTGGAGGAAGGACACAGCCTCCCTTAGGTCTGGATTACGGATCTGGGAGGTTGAAGCTGGATCCAGGTTTCCCTGGATCACCACAYTGGGTGGCTTGCTTGGGCTGCGGGCTTGCAGCAAGGGGCGCCCCGCTGCACAGCCTGAGCCTGGGCGCTTCCAGCTCCGGCAGGACACGGCTGCCTCCTCAYGCTCGTGTGCAGCCCTCTCCCTCAAAGCTGGTGGCAGCAACGGCTGCTTTTCCTTCTGGAAAAGCCTGAAAAGCCCTAACACTTCTGATACGTAACTCGCTGCCGTGGTCAGAGCCGTCCCCAGAAGCCAGGCACAGGGCAAGCCTGAATTAGAAGCTGAACTGTGTGGGCCCAGGGATTTCCCTGGGGACGGATGTGGCGAGCGCAGGGGCTTCATGCACCGCCTGCTGCTGCCGTGTGCCTGTGAGATAGCCGAGGAGCTGAGAAGGAAGGAAACAGGAAATACTAGACAGAATATGAACAGCATAACCCTGAGGGGAAGAAACACAGAGAAAATGAACGTGGGGCTGTGTGTTTCCTGGCCAAGCCTGGGCACTGTGAGCASAGGGGCCGTGTCGAGGTGGGTCCCTCCCGCACACGCTCTTTGCAGCCGCCAGCAGCACCCGACTTTGCTCCCGGCTGCCTCTGTGCAGCCCTGCTGCCGTGCGGGTCCGGGAGGTGACACGGATCCGCCGCCTATAAATGTCCCGCGGCTGGCGGCGTGCGCTGCAACAGCTGCTGCTGAGCCAGCACCCAGCCGGCGCCAAGGGCCTCCGGAGGGAGCGCGGTCCCGGGCCCGGCAAGTCCTGYGGGCTTTAGCCGCAGCTTCTGCTGTAGCTCCGGGCTGTTTTAATCCAGAGGATCAGCCTTGCAGGGGGAGCACACGCGGCCTGGCCCAGGCAGGGTGCCTTTCCAATGCCCCTTTGGGAGTGCACAGGGATATGGATGAGCACAGGGTGCAACGGCCGAGCTGCTCCCTGCAGGGAGAAGGGCTCCCAAGGACTGCAAACAGAGAGGCCATGTTACTGTCGCTGGTGTTAGTGAGCTGTGTCCCACAGCCTGGATGGGGCTGAGGAGAGCGCGGCCGAGTGTGGCTCCAAGGAGCGACACACAGGAGGTTTCCAGGCCACGTTTTGTGAAAAGCCGCATTTTCCCACACAGCCCTCGCTCCCTCCCATCCCGCKTTGTTTTGTGCAGCCGACCCTTTCCTGTGCGCGTGGGCCCCACAAGGGAGGGCGATGGCCGCCAGCCAGCTGGGGCCTGCAAGGGGCCGCATGGAGCAGTGCCGCCCCGTGGTGCCGGGGAGCTCGGCCTCGGGGGCTGCCTCGCCACCGGCTTCCTCCAACACCCGAAATCCAACCACTCGCGGCTGGCACGTCGGGCCACCAAACTGCGCCTGGCCGCGGCCTGTGCGATGCGGGAGGGTCGGAGCTGCCCCCGAGCCGTGTCAGGAAACAGGCCAAAGAGGAACCACGGGTAGCAGTGCCAATATATCGGAGGCGGCTGCTACTGGTGATTCGTTCCCAGAGC